TGTGCGTGCGTGCGTTGCGTTCGTGCGTGTTTATGTGTCGAATAATGGTCGAAGACGTGTTTGCATAAAGTGACGAAAATGTTTCAGTGTGTAAATGTCAATGTTCAATAGTCAAAATTTGTATGTTACAGGTGTCGGCTTTTAGCAATGGGTATGGGCAGGATTATAACGCTGGTGCCTACAACAACCACGGCAAAAGGCTTAACGAGGGAAAATATGATCATAAACAAGAGTACGACAACAAGAAGGCCGTCGATGATCGCGGCGGAAAAGGACAGATATACGTAGGTGTTGCGTATTTGCTCACGGCTGTTGACATCTATATAAGTGATTAATGCCACTGTATTGGAGGAAGAACCCACGTTGAGTATGTCTGTGTGATTGAAAACAAAGTGAACGCATGCGCACTAGTATGTGTGCACGCTCCCCAGAATAGTACACCTACTTTGCCATGAGCCACTAGGCTAATATCAATAAACTATAATATATATATATATATCTATATATTATATATATATATATATATAAGTGTGTGTGTGTACTGATGTGTGCACTGTGTGTGTGTGTGTTGTGTTGTGTGGCCGTGCGTGCGTGCGTTGCGTGCGTGCGTGCGTGCGTGAAACGTGTGTTGTGTGTGGTGTGTGTGTGTGTTGGTGTGTGTGTGTGGTGTGTGGATTTATGTGTGTGTGTGTGTGTGTGTTTGTGTGTGTGTGCCTGTCCTTCTGTCTCTTCTTCTTTACTCGCTCTCTCTCTCCTCTCTCTCTCTCTTCTCTTCTCGCTCTTTCTTTTTCTCGCTCCTGCTCTCTTTCTCGCTCTCTCTCTCTCTCTCTTTTCTCGCGCTCTCTCTCTCTGCTCTCTCTCGTCTTCTCTCTCTTCTTTCTTTCTCTTTCTCTCTCTCTTTGTTGCTCTCTCTCTCTGTTTCGCCTCCTCTCTCTGTCTTCCTCTCTGTGTCGGTGGCGCTGCGTGCGTGTGTGTATGTGTGGTGTGTGTGCTGCCGGTGTTGCATGCGCGTGCGCTGCGTGCGTGCGTGTGCGTGTTGCGCGCGCGCGTGTGGTTTGTGTGTGTGCATTTGACATTGTTTTTTTAGAAACCTCATTGACCGCGTGTAAGCATAACCTGATCGTATAATTACAGAATTTTCATCCACAATCTAAACATTGTCTCACCTAACTGGTGACTGCGTTTAACCTCTGACTATAAGCGGTCGACCCAATGTGAACAATCTGTGTCGCGGTGCGCGGGCGACGTGCTGTGGTTAATACAGCCTTCGCGTGTGCGCAAACAATTTTCTGACGACGCACGGGGAAATAATTATTATCTTATTTATTGAGAGTTATTGTGCAATATTTTCGTAAAATTATTTCATGTTATTATATATCCCCGTGCTGTCGTAGGGCCTACGTTGTTATACATACATTTAACAACATGATACAGAAATAATACAGAAATTATTACTTGCATAATTCATACTGGTTAACCTACTGTCTCAGGTGTTGAGAAGACGTCATGAACGCATTATAATTGACGGTTTACTGGTTACTTTACCTACTAATGTAGTTAATGTATAGTTAAATAGGTCATTATCTATTTATCTGAACGATGGAGCGATAAATACGACACACTGCGTCTCTCTGTTTTTACAGGATAACGGTAAAATCATTCATTCGGACGGTTACGGGACATTCCAATTCACGAAAGGCGAGGGAAAATATTTCTACAAAAATCTCTACCTTGACAAGGGAGGTAACAGGTACTACATCGATAACGGACGCAAGATAAAAGAAGACGGTAAGGGGTATTTCGACGGGAAGGGCCAATACCACAAGGATGCTCATCACGGTGCGGAGCAACACAACAGCGCGCCTAGCTATAGTAGCTTGCCCCAACAGGCGCTAGCTCTAGGCAAGTTCGCAGGAGAGGACACGGCGGCACTGATAAGCCTTTTAACGTCGAGCAACGACGGACACGGTGGCCGCTACACTGCACCCGCAGCGCCATTTGCGCCAACCTACAGCGAGCAATCAAGCTCCCCGGTTGCGTACAATGCTGAAACTGAGTCGATTACATCTCCCTCTGCTCCGCCTCCTTACCCTGTAATAACGTCGCCCGACTACTCTAATAACCCCAGAACGCACTCATCACAGGAGCGACAGGCCTACCCGGCCCATGCATTGATACAGAACAAGATGGATGTCTCGCCGTCCGCCGGATCACGGCAAGATGACAGCCCTGCTCGCAGAGAGACAACGCCAGGTGCTCCTCGGAACGTGACTCCGCGCGAGCGCTTCCAGCAAGATCTTACTAACGATAGAGGAAGCACGGATAGATCCGACAGGAAGCAGTCAGCAAATAACTACGGCGACCGGCGATACAGCAGAGGCGAGGACCGCCGCGATCAGTCTCAGCCGTTCTCTCATATCAGCGCCCCTAACGACAGGGATTCAGCGCGACACCGGTCGGACAAAGTGGAGTCGAGAATCGCGCAAAAAAGATCCTCTTATGGACCCGGGAATTCGAGGTATCAGCAGACGTCGGATTCTCGGCGAGACAAATACTCGGAACGCGAATCAGCGAATGCGTACAGCGACAGAAACGAAGGAAGCTACGACGACGACGATGGCGATGACTATCGTACACATCGTCGCGACAGACAGGCGTTCGCGTATCGCAGCTCGAGACCGCAACACACACACGAACGACGTCGCTTCATTCCGCGTGATGACGATGCCCGATCAAAGTACAATCCATATGTTGTACCAAATCCAGCGGTCAGCATGCCTATTCCTGCCTTTTCGCGTGAATATCAATCGGAGAGCGCTGCGATTGGCGGCGCACAACAATTTAGAAAGCCCGAAAACTTCAGATCGCCCGAGAGTCATGTATTACGGCGCAGGCCCGATCGAGATCACGAGAACAAGGCGCGGGATTCATCGAGCGCTTATTATTCATCTCCTGGTACGAACGGGCGAGAGGTTCTAGAACGAGAATACCAACGTTCACGTGGTTACGAGGCCGACGAGTCACATGCCGGACCAGGGCAATTTCGGCCGCATTTGCGTTTTCAAACACGTCAGCGGCAAGCTACCCAATAATATGTGTCTACGTTCTACCATTATTCAGCCCGTTGGTGGTCTACCAAGCTAACTCATTGCCAATTAACCTATAAAATGTCACAAAGACATGTCATCGATTTACTCAACTTTGTTATAAATGTTATTATGGATTAACGGCATCTCAATCGTGTCATTTTATCACGAATATTTGTTGCGCTGATATATATATATATATATATATATATATATATTACTACTATTACTACGTCGACCAAGGTGGGCATGATGCTTCCTTGAGTCGGGAACAACAGATATCACTCCAAACTTCACGGTCGCTTATGACTGTGGCCAGCTCTTTAGTTGATGTCAGTTGTGTCATTGGCAGCAAGCTTTTAACAAACGTTTTGATGGGTCTACCGCGTTTAAGGTGGCCGCGTTTATATATATATAGTATGAAAATCCTACCTTAGGTGAAATGAAATACTGTTGTCAGAAGCAAAATTAGTCTTAACATTAGTCTTAACATTAACTTCGACTCGTAAACCGTTGACAGAAATATCGTAAAGACCCTCTCGTTACTTTAATACCAAAATGAAAATAACGAAATTACACAAAGAATTTCAATTATAGTGATTTTACATTATCAATTAATGAGTAAAACATGTATTTTCATGGAAAACACGTCAGAAACACTACTTATATCTACCAATCGTATACCAAAGCAAACATTTACGAGTGGCGATTGTTCTCTTGTTTTGGATATTTTGATGAGTCATGACGCTCGCTTTGTATTAATTGCTATGCAGAATCATGTCAAATCGTGCAAATTAAATTCATGTTCGTGTCGTTTTTTCATCAGATATTATTTTTATGTGGTTAATCATCATAATATGCATAAATTACTGTGATGTAAAATAAATGTGTATGAATTTGAATTTTGTGATTCTAATCCAATCAGCATCCGTGTGACATTAAATTATGAAGTTCCTCTTATCACAAGTTGTCTCATAGCTGCGATACGTTTCTGTCCACGCTATTCTCATAACATTAAAGGGACTACGTCACGAATTTTCTATGGTAAAATTTGTAAAAAAAAAATTGCCATTTTTTTACATTAAAAGTAAGAACTAACGTTACTAAATATATCCTCAAACTCTCACCTGATAAAAATGTTTTTACGTTGGTTAAATTTGCAAAAATCTAGACGATCTGGTAATTTCTGTTGTCTAACACTATTCTGTACTGTACTGTACTATCCAGTACTGTTCAGATACTGGCGTCTCTCTGTATTTCACCGGCAAATTAGGGCATATAAAGAAGGTATATAAGCATGAAAAGTAAACAGAAACACTAATTGTATTTTCATACATTTTATTTTGTACAAATAACACACAAATGTACTACTTGATGGTGCTAGAAATTCGATACCACTACATGCCCATCTGCTTTCAAAGTTGGACATAGCAACTTTTCGGCTGCAGGCAACAGATCGAGGGTAATTTAATCATTTAAGAGGAAACGGATTGCAATATATTATCAACAACTTTTTGATTTAGTTATAATAAGGACGAACTTGTCTTAAAATAAAAATCGTTCAATTAAATACATTTAGGTACAAATATAATTGCACTCTTTGTGAATTAGCCCTCGGTCTGTAACGTGCAAAATAAATCGGAAAAAGCGCAACTTATTTAGGGTGGCAGCATCATCGCGCGGAGTTATGTCAGCGGCCAAAAATAATTATTTCGAAACTCACTGTTGTTTTATGACAAGTGTGAATGCATGGTTATAGAAATTTGTAGGTAGACCTATATATACTATTATTTATGCACTTACTATCATAATATACCCTAAAATTCTAGGGTGTAGTATCCATTTAATTTCGTGTTATGATCTCGCATTTACTTACGCATATTACTATTTAGTTATGAACTTTTATGCTTACAGTTGGTATGACAACAAATTAACAATCTATCCATGTGAATATCCATAAAATCTGGTTGCAGTCTTCCACGTTTGTTTTTTATTATTATCGATATGACAGTACAATAATTAGCACATTTCAATTGAAAATAAACCAAGGAGTAGGTAAATAAGATGAACGTAGATAAATAAGATGAACTGTAGCTACTGTACATTTTGTTATCACTTAAACTGCATAAATCATCACATCTTCCTCGAACTCTTGTTCTTCTATTCCTAGCGATCTATAGTCATTTCTCCGCAAGTGTTTCAGCAGCCGATAGCTTTTACGAGCCAACGTTGTTTTGTGTTTAACTATGATTCCAATTATAATCATAACGCTGATCATGACAACGACCGAAAGTGAGAGAAGACCCCACGACGTTAAACGCCCGTTAACGATTGACATTCCCAATAACGAATTGCAACCAATCTCAGCAACATTTATATTGTATAGTGACACGCCGGAACATGTTACACGATCTTTGTCTACCACGTTAAAACTCAGCGATTTATTCTGTAACCACGTGATAAAACCCTTGGCTATGCAGTCGCAGCGAAACGGATTAAGTGATATGTTCAACATCGATAATTTAGGCATCGCCTCCAGTGCGCTTCTATCCTCTGCATCAAGGTAGTCAATCTCGTTCAGCGATATATCAATCTCCGTTATTTGTGAGAAACAGTCAGTGTTAAAGCGAAGACTTCGCAAGCCAGCATTACTTAATTTCAGTAGTTTTAGCTGCCTTGCGTTACACAGACTACGGAATCCGCCATTTACCGAAAGGTTGTTACCAGATAAATCTAAGTATCGCAAAGAATTTAAGTCTACGTCAAGAAAGATTTCTGTCAAGTTCGGCACTATGTAAGATCCGTTGCTGATACTCTGGAAGGCGCTTCGCATGGAAACATCTTTTACACCGGGAACCTTTCTGAAGAGACTAATCGGGTTCATAGAAATCGTGTTGTCTGCCATATGGAGTGTTTCAAGATTGCTCAGAAACTGGAAAGTTCTGCTCGACAATATTTGAATACTGTTGTTCGATATGTCAAGACTTCGAACGCTTTCCTTGTTATACCAGAACAGTTCTTCGGTCATATTGGGAAAGACGTTTCCGGTGACCAAGATCTCAATCGCATGGTCGTTGATGTTATCAAATACGCTTGACATCTGAGTTTGATTAAAACATTGTTGGTCACACACAACTTGGAACGCGATGCATGAGCACTGGGGAGGGCAGGCACTATCACGTTGGTTAGGTGCAACTGACGTCAGTAGAATACTTGTCAATAGCACAACAATACACATTCTGCCCGACGACATTTTCGGTCTGATGCTCTCGATCACAAATGATAACGGTAACGACCCAATCATGGATATATAGTACCAGCGTGCGGAACTTATGGAGTCATCTACGGTTGCAACTTGTTTAACTAGACTGATACTTGGAGAATTGATTTAATCTTTTCTTGGTCAATAGCTGAAAAGACAAATGTTGTATAGATAAATGTGTATAAATGATAAATGCTCGGGTAGTTAAAAACTAAAAAAAGAGTAAACTAAATTCGAAAGTAAAAGATGCGATAAACCATATAGTTTACTGTCACTGTTGGTACATTGTGACTCGAATGAAAGACGAACGCTGGGCATATAGAACTAATAAATCAATGATATTCAGTAGCTGCATGAAAGTCTTACCCGCTCGATATGTACATTCTGGCAGACTTAGTGTAGCTCATCCAGTTATCGACGTTGACTCACGTTAGCGTTTGTGCGCAGCTCTATATCTACTGAAGGTTTGAGGATGTGCACTGATTTACCCTTGATCTGTCGCATTATCGCCAGTATGTACACGCGCACCACGTACGCCACTAAAGTAAACGAAGATTTGTTTCATAGAGATCAAAGGTTGACGCGTCATCGTCAGCACTTTAATAAAAAGGGGGTATTATTACTACCTTGTAATTACTGCCCGCAGACACCATCATACTGATTTTTAAAAAAATTGTGAATTTGAAATATATAACTATGGTAAATTGTGATATTCGGGTGAGAAAAGTTTCGGGTTTCTGAATTTACCAGTCTGCTCTTACACTTTGCTTGTCATTTAAAATGAATTATGAGTGTTGCAAGGAATAATTATATAGACAATCTTACTGTGAAATTGGTTCCAATCTGCCTGATAAAACTACGTGTTTATATCACCTATCTGTCGATCGTAAAAACGTGTAACAGTGTGAAGCTTTGTAAACATACATAGATCGCCCACGGTCATTATTGCCTTTTTATGTTGCGATGTTGATTTCGGCCTTCAAACAATTTATCCTAATTTCATTGAGGCGCTTTTCCTTGTTTAGAAGGCTATAATTTCATATGATGCTTATTCAAAAAATGGCGATTAGTGTATATGGATTAGTAAATTACGCAATACGTGAATGAGAAAATGCATGAAATTTCGCAGTTATTGACTGCTAGCAGCCTAGCAGCATTCAGTTATGTTTTTTTCTCTTGATTACCAGATCGAAATAAACGCAGCGTATAGCAAATCAGCTTAAATATATTCAGCACAACACCGATACATCTAAACAGATTTGCATATCGAACTTTGAACGAGTGCTATGATACAGCTTTGCTGAACTATTGCTATAGGATATCAGAACAATTTCGTAACTATGTGAGCGTGTGTACCGATAACAGGAAAACTACGTCAATACTAGTATATGTATTTTTTTATATTAGTTTATTTGACTCATGGCGCGAGACCAACTGCTAAGTGTGATATTAAATGACTTGGTATCTGGTAATTGTAATCACTCACGTTGTATGCGTATTTGCGAGTGGCTTAAATTAAGAAAATGTCTCTAGCAATGTGCAGAAAAACAGGATAGATCTGTTTTCTTTCGCCGCCTTCGTTGCGTCGACCATGATGTTCGTATCTTTGCGTCATGTCAGTCAAATAAAGTGAGGCGAAAAAAAGAGTAATAGATATGCATGTGTTTAAAATTACAGAACGAAACACGAAAAACTAGCGATCAAGTAAAAGGCAATTTGATTGTGGTATATTAGGATATAATACAAAATTACTCCCAACTTATTGTTATAAAATATTAACTATATTATATTATAACATTATAAAATAATAATTATTAAAACAATAGACGATTCCATAAAATTCTGGTAAAACGTAATAACAGCGTATGCGATTTTTGTAGCCCATCTGTGCAATTAATTTTAATACTCCTTATCTTATACGTTCTGATCTACGTTAAGCACTTTGTATGAGACATGGAGACGTGCTATCGACACATAGCTTAAATTAGAAAGCAGCCGCAAAACACGAATTCGTAGGATATCTACATCAATCGTGGCTGTTATAGTAGTGGTGCTTGTTGTTGTATTTGTTGTCTGAACCATAGTTGCCTTTTCCGTAAAAGGACCCCTTGCCGTTGTTATGGGCCTTGTAACCATTATCCTTGTAGTGTTTGTTGCCGCCGTGATCCTGGTGATAGTTGTCGTAAAGGTATTTACCTGTAAATAAGAAGTTCTATTTTGACATTTTAGCTCAGCGGTTACGATCTACGCGTGGTTGCTAATCACCATTGTCCGGCTAAATAACATCCGTTCAATCTCTTCCCAGCTATGCGTGAGGAATAATCATCGGTTGTTTGTAACAAGCTCCCAGCCGTGACTGCAGTAAAGGTCACTTCTAATCGCAAAGCTGTAAACTGTACGTGTCCAACAAGAGGGTAGACAATGCGGAACTGCTGCGTAGCGCGTCATGTTAAGGAAAATGATGTCACTAAGATCTAGTTATAATAATACCGCTTCGAATCTAGTCATCGCACAAGAAGCGAAAACATGTTATAATTACTGTACTACAATCACCAATGGCTAACTGTCTCTACAGCAAATATACATAATTACACTATAAGAAATGTACGAACCGTCTCCTTTGCTAAAGTAGAATTTTCCCTTTCCCTTGTTGGTCGATTGCTTCCCATTTAGATAAATGCTGCCATAGCCACCATAGTCTTGCTTGTCACCGTAGCTACTATAGTACTGGTCGTGCTTGTATTTGTAATTATCATCGCCGCTCTACGAAACAAAAGCAAAATAATTAGCACATTGATTGATGACACACACACACACACACACACACACACACACACACACACACACACACACACACACACACACACACACTACACACACACACACACACACACACACACACACACACAC